TTACTCTCCAGATAATAATGTTTTTTTCACCCAGCCTTTCGTTATTGCATTTTTATCAGAGCTAGTAATATAAAAACAAAAAAATAATTTTGTACTATCAACCCTGATGAAGCTGCAATGGTGAAACGTTGGGTAAAATAAAACTATTGTTATCTGAAGAGTAAAGATCGTTTTTTTTTCTTCTAACTTTATTGTCAAAATATCTAAATCCATCCAGTAAACACTACAAATCCTAAAAGACAACAAAGTATTTCCGGAATTATGATTATATTGTTACGCCTCTGCTCGTTTGATAATTTCCGGTAGAAATTCTTACCGAGAAACTTCAGCGATACAAGTCCTTTCTTAAATAAAACTAGTTTATTCTTTCTCAATACACTTAATTTCCACAGGAATTGAATAGCGGACAGAGAGATTGAAGATATAGACGGACAATTGAGTCAAGCGCGGTAGTAAGTAAAGTGCGTGAATCGTTCGTTGAGAATTATAGTGTGTGTTTAAGTAAGCGCCAGACAATTAATCGGGAATTATATACAAGAATAGAGGGCGCCTAGCAAATACTGGATTATTCGTGATGTTCCCCGATCTTTCTAGAACGTGTTACCAGCGTCACGTGACTTCCGTTGTCGTAACAGTATGTTGTTATAGCAAGGAACATTGTTTCTTTCTTGCATGATACAGTGTTTAATTTAAGCATCTTTTTTCCATTTTAATATTTATTTTGTTCATTCTGAATAGAGCATGTATTGTTAGGGCTCTTTACAATAAGTTTAGAAAGTGAGAAAACAAACCTTATCCAGGATAACACTTTCACTTAATGTGAATATACGATTTATAATTGTGGCATGCTTGCTTTATTTATTTATTTATTTTTTGTTGTGGTCAGTTAAAGTAATGGAAGAGTGTGTTGTGTAAATTATTTTTGTTTGTATCGTGGAAGAGTAAACTATCTGTTTGTGTGGTGCTGATAACCCCATCGTCAGAATAACAAGAATTCAGTCAGCATTTGTGTTGCAAGTCCTTTTACAAAGGCTTGTTTATGTTTCTACACGGCTAAAGGTGACGTTACTTTAAAACCATTGTATCTTAATAACATTTTAATTTTGTACCGATAAAGGACGATCCACCTTTATTTTTTTTGTACTTCACAACAACTAAAAACATAAAGCTCTTGAACTATTAGAACGGTCCCTTTGTTGAAGATCCTCAATTTCTAAGTTGATACACTGCTTAGTGATCCTCACGTTCCACGTGGTTTCATATAAACAATCAGCACATTCTACAACTGCACGTATACCACATTAACAAATAAAGTATTTCACACGATTTATTACCAAAACGTTATCCTAACCAGAGCAACTTTTCATGTGAGAGATGTAATATATTTTTCTTTCTATTTTCCCATTATTCTTCCTGCTCCTTTCATCAATGTAGTATTTAAAAAGGTTTGTGTCATATATGTATACATAAACATTGGTTTGCAATGAGGATAAAACGGCTTATACAAACAACAACACATTTTAACCTCACCGTAAACCTTGTTTAGGGTTGTTACCCGAAACAATATTTTTCACCTTGTTTGTCTTATACATTTTGATTGCATTTAATTTCTATATTTATAATAATTCGTTCCTTTGACCCAGTTAAGTTTACTGTTATATTCCCCTTTCCCTTATTTTATTGATTTTTTTGGCCCACCAGTGACATAGCGATATGTCTGCGGAATTATACTGCTAAAATCTGGGTTTCGATACCCGTGATGGGCAGATCACAGATTGACTTTTGTATAGCTTTGTGCTTAATAACAAACACCAAACCGAACACCTTTATATTTTTAATGTACAGTATACTTCCATGTTTTTGTAAATAATTTACGAGTTTTCAATAGATTCATTTGGCAGTAATCTTAATTTGATTATAAATAGACCCAGCACAGATGCAGCAAGCATTTGTTAAAAGGTTTATTCACACTAGTGAACGTTTCGGAATCTACAAATTCCATCATCAGCATCTACTAGATTCCGAAACGTCCAATGATGCGAGTAAACCTGTTAACAAAAATGTGAGGTTTCATTGTAGTTAATTACGTGTATAAATATTTACTTGGTATGCCGCGATATCTGTCGTACTGCTTGTGACACGGTTAATTTTTCTCGTTAGGTAATGTTCTACGTTTTGTGTTTATCGTAAAGTAATGTTCTACGTTTTGTGTTTATCGAAAAGTTCATGTTCCAATTGTCTCTCGCTTGACGAAGAACTCACAAGTTGGCATCAAAGCTTGGGATCAGTAAATATGCTTTGGAGTTCACCCCAAAGTTTATTTTGTTAGTTTAAGACTTATTAAGTGTGATTATTCGAGTGTTGGTTTGTTGTACATTTTAACCGATAGGGTGCATCCCTATTAAAAATAACTAATTTTGTTCATAATATATTAAAAGGTTAAAATTCAAGGAACTTGTGTATATATATTAAAATCCATAAACGAACAACGTTTTATAATACATACTTATAATCTATATTTAAACCGATCAACGGTTGTAAAAGTCACTGAAAGTTTCAACGTGGTTTCACGTCATCTTCAGGAGTGTGAAAAACAGTTACTGTGTGCTATATAAGTACAAAAGCCACCATGGTCATGCGACTACTAATTTACAATTCAAAAAAAAAA